TTCAAAATCCCTTACAGTGAGAAGTTCATTGAGAGAAGTCAACATACAATTTCTACAGCAATCTGGAACACAGCTGAAAATTTTCAATTAAAATCAATGATTCTGTGAAATAGCAAGAAAAGGGTCTTTTGTGGCTTGTTTCAAAACACATCAACTTTGTTTTAGTACAAAATAGCATAAACCACAGGATTTTGAGAAAGTTCTTGCATGATCTGAACTTCATTACCTAAATTAGGATCAGCTGAGGTACTAGCTGGGAATGAATGATGCCTTGCAAGACAAAGGAATGTCACAGATTCCTAATTACACAGCACTGTCACAGTGATGCTTTTGTTGCTCTTTCAAGTGGCATCTCACAGCTTTAGAGAAAAATTAAGGCAAGGAAAGTTGACTTCAAAAAGCTGTTGATTGAGGGGCTGCTACCAAGAGATTTGTTTCTGCCAGGCAGGCTAAGATTTGTTTTTCCGGGTCAGAAGCACAGGTGTGAATTCTAAAACCAGAGATCTCTTCTTCTAATGAGTAAGAAAAAGTATAGTAAAGCCTATTGCTTTAGCATGGAGTACACATAATACTTAACATTTTCACATTTGATTGCAGATAAGCCTTCAGGAAACACTTCTACTGGAGCTGGATAATTTCAGTGCTGTGTCCTGCATGTCAGTAGCCAGTGCTCACATCAGGGACAGGTGAGGAGACAGAACAAAAGGCTGCAGTGCCAACACAACTACAGATACTTTTTCAAACAATTTCTCAACACTAAGGTTTCTTTTTCTAATGCTGCTCCCCCTCCAGTAAGTTATTAATCCAAGAATGAGCAGCCATCAGTGTGTACAGAGTAACTGAGCTCAGAGCAGCAGAGCAAAGAGCCCAGCTGGCTGAGCAGCAAGGACAGCCATGGAAAGCCAGCCAGCCATCATCCTTCCTTCCTTCCTCTGGGGAGGGAGGCTGGACCAAAGAAACCCTTGGGAATGGTTTGCCACTACAGAAATTTAGAAGCCCATATTTAAGCCACAGTCTGAAACATGCACAGACACAAACACACACACACACACAGGAGCATGGAGCCACAGACATTCTTTAGGCCAAAGAAATGTGTACAACACTTTATCTTCTCAGTTTGTTTGGGCTGGTAGAAAACCCATAAATGGAAGACAATGTATTTTTTTGATAACTAGGATATCATGTGAATTACCTTCCCTGAAGAGGACAGGAAACAAGCTTATTTATTCATATACCCACCTGCAATTTTTCTGCTTGTTATTTAAACAACCCAAGAGGCTGGTGACAGCTCTACTGACCCACAAGATGCTGCTTCTCCAGAGACAGCAACAGTGTCAGTACAAAATTCTCTCCAGGTCTCTCAACCTCCATGTGCTGCTTCTGCACTAAACAAGTCACTCTACTCAATCTCACCGTGCATTCTGCTTAGGTTACTTGCAAACAAGCTGAAGAATTTCAACTGTGATGTGAGCACTTGTTAATTTACAAATGGCTACAAAAGCTGTTGAAAGCAGCATGTGCAACTTTGCAGTAACTGTACCTCCTCTTCATTTCATTGCTTCTGCTTATAAACAAAGAACACCCAGAGAGCTGCACAAGGTTCCTGTCCTCCTGTCAGTCAAGGGAACAGAACTGCAGCTGGCTGCAAGGTTCTGAAATAAATAGGTTTTGACTGCTGAGGTAGCTTTTAACTACAAGACCTGCTCAGCCATGGGCTTCTGACAGCTTTTTCCTTCCCTCTTTTTTTAAGCTCAAATTTAATCCAATCATTAAAATATTTGTTGAAGTGCTCTGTCTGCTTGGCAGCATAGCCCACACCACAGACAGAGTGATGGGTGACTTATTTAAGCAGGAATTTTTTTTGCATTCCTCCTAGGTTTTTTTATATTTTGAATTGTTTGTGCAAAGATTTGGTAGGTGGAGCTTTTCAATCAATTGCAGCAGACCTGGCACAGGGTGGCACTCATGCTGTTCACTCAAAAATGTTAAAGATAAAAATCACGAACAAACAGGAGTTTTCAACCAAGGTTGCATCATCACTCCATATTTTGTTTTCAGTGATGAAATAAATTCTAAACAAGTATTCTCATTTTATAGATGCTTTAAAATAGTTTCTGAAAAATACAACAGTAGCATTGATCTCTGTGTGAATTTGACTACACTGATTCTTAAGATGGGTATTTCTAAATTTATTCACAGGAAATCCCTACATTGTTCTCTTTATGTTGAAGTATATCAGAAGAAGCCATGGGAAGAAGCAAGAGAACTTCAGTAAGAAAGGCTATGCTGCACCATTCCTTTCAAACCATAGCAGAATGCACTGCAGCAGTTGTGGCAGCAGGAACCCTTAGAGAGGAGAGGAACAGTCACAGCAAGACTTTGTTGGATCTGTTTGGGAAAACAGCTGAACTCTCAGGTACACAGATGCACCCTCACATCAGGGAATTAATCTAGAAACATCAATTCCAGCTGAGAATATGTGCTGCCAGCATCTGATTCTGTGCCTGGATGTGCAGAATTTGACATTTTTTCCTTCAGTTTTAAATCTGAAAAAGTCCTAGAATGGTCAATACCTTCCTTTTTTTTCATAGTTGATCACCTAAAGGTACTTGCACATGAACCTACACATAAACTCTGAAAGTCTATTTTGAGATCACAAAAAGTTTTTATAAGGAAATGCCCACACATTCTGACTGTTTGTACCAAGGATGGGTATTTGAACCCTGTGACCTCCCCAGGAACACCTTTAGTACCTGTGGAACAGATGGGAAAGAGTCTTCATGTGGCATTACTGTATCATCTTTGATGCTGTTTTGTGGAGGAATTCATGAGCTCCTTTTCTACCTGAACATACAAATGTAACTGTTCTCATGGTGCTCATACAGTGCAGTGCTAGCAAAGGACTGGCTGCATTTAGATAACGTTATCAGCATCCTTAGAGTATCACAGTCTCATCTTTGCTATCTGAAGGCATTAGTTTCTAAAAACCTGAAATTACGCAAGAATTCACGACTGTGTGGACAATTCAGTGATGGGGAATGGACAGGGAGTTTATGGGTGTCACTTTCAAAAATATAATTTCAGTTACATGCCCTTGAGTATCAAAAGGCTTGAAACACTCAGAAGTATTTCAAGGTTTATTAAAACCTACAACTATTTTAAAACCCTAGATTACCTTTGTTCAAAGGTTCCTGATGACCCCTGCCATAGTAGATTTTACTCTTTTCTTTCTTCTCAAACCGTATTCACTTGGCAGCACGTGAGAAATGAGAGCCTTGTGGTATGTGCTTGTTCTTGAGGCACAGGCAGGTAAGGTGACACTCCTGGCCACTCATGCTGCCATACAATGGAGCAATCTCAAGCACAGGTGAAAAACTGCTGAGCAAAAGTACCTCTGAGTAGGTTGCAGTGAAACTGAAATGTATTCATGCATGTTTGGAACAGCTGTGCTCTGCAGTGAGAGCAACCCTGTCAAGCTGAAGGAAGGAAGCAAAGAGGCCAATTAGATTTTATGGCTTTGGTCAACAATACCAGGGATCCTTTTCCTTCTGGCTCCTCCCAACAAGGACATTGCCCATTTCCAAATATAAAGGAATACATGTCCTCTAGTAGGGCTACCAAAACTAGGAAAGGCACACTTGTAAAAACGTGCTGTGAACACTCAGAAGGACGTGGCTGCTGTATTTCATTTCAAGAATCAGAGATTACACTGGGGTCTGTAACAGCCCCTCCCTTCCCCACACAGTTACTGCTATCTTATGTTTTCTTAATACTGATTTTAAAGTGACACTGTTCTTCTAATATTTATTGAAATATTTTAATCACAAGTAGTAACAAGACTGTTTTCTCTACTGCCTCTGCTGTTACATGTCAGACAAAGCTGCCGTGCTGTCTTGGGGAAGAATGGGGCTTTCAGGCCTTTTCTTTTTTTTTCACTCACTGTTAAGCAGAAGTATCAATACTGAGAAATGCCCTGAAGGCTGCACTAGGACTGCTACTATTTAATTACACTAAATTATTCTACAATTTAAAAATTGGCAGTATGCTTTAGTTCCATAAAACCAACAAAAAAATCCCTCAGCAAGGTATATCACAATGTGTCCTCACCCTATAGACACAGCCATGAGAGCAGCCTGAGATTATCTACAGACCTTCATAAGGCTCAGAATGGCTATGTAGGGCATCATTCAAATGCTTTATGCTTAAATAGACTGTCACCTGGCCATCAAAGGTATTTTCTGGCATTGAGAAGGAAATTTAATTTGAGATGTATAATACAGCCATGTATTTTTGAAAACATTTTAGTGCAATGATTTGGACATACAGGAACAGAATTTGAACTTGCAAATAAAGTTTAAGAATGTCTGTAGAAAAATACATTCTAAGAGCAACTAAAAAAAAGGTGAATGTATTTTTAGTACAGAGGAATTTAACATTCCAAGCAATGACAGTGTTTCTGGGAAGGACTGTACCAACACTATAGGAAAGGACATTTTATTAAGAAAGAAACAGTTTAGTTATATAACTTCTCAGGGAAGCACCTGAGAAAGTTACACATGCAGACTTCAGCAGGGGGAGAGACCGAAAATGGTGCAACTTCTACCAGCAGAACTAGAAGCAAGCTTAACTGCAGGCCAGCACTAAGCACTCTGAAAGACTACACCTGACCTGACTTGGAAACAGGCTCCTATTTAAAACACAGGGCAAACAAATCAGAAGCAAAAGAAATACCTCTTCAAATGGCTCAACAACTGTTACTGAACTCTCAGCATGGAGGTGGGCAGAGTCCCTTGCTGCTCGCATCTCCCACCTTCCAGCACCAGAATGGATGACTGGTCACTTGGTCCCAGCTCTCTGTGCTTCCAGCTGCTAGGCTACATTAGAAGAAGAGGAAAAAATGCAGCAAATCTTTCCTAATATATTTTACATAGACAGCTTCTATTGTATTCTGAAAGTGTTTGCAGTCAGACAGAAAAGGTGAAGAGATTTAGTCAGTCGCATATGAGAATGGAAGCAGTTTATCAGTGCATAGTGCAAATGACATCTAAAAACTTTCATTACTACAGAAATAAAGAAAAGTCAGATTCACAGCCAATAAGCCATTCACATTAACAGAAAGAACTGATCAAGTTCCATGGTTTTGCAGGCCAACCAATCACCTCAAATGCCAGGTCACAACATCTCCTCCAGTCCTCCAAAACTAACCTCAAACTGTCTGAACGCGACACAAAGCCACCAGTTCCATCTCCTGATGAACAGCAGTGAGTGGGGAGAAGCAGACACCCATCAGAGATCTCACAGCAGGGAACACCTCTGCTCACAGACCCTCCTCCATTCCTGGTGGTTTGCTGCCCAAAGCTGGACCAGGTGAGCTGGTCACGGACAGAGCTTCCCAGGGGCTGGCACTACTCAGTACTTCTGTGTCAAGCTGCATAACGTGACCAAATCAATTCTCCTGGAGTTTGCAGATGACACCAAAGAGGCAGAAGAGGGAGGTAGAGGGGACAGATGAGCCACTCTACAGAGACACCTGGACAGCCTTGGTGACCAGGCCAACAAGAACTGCAGCAGCCTCTGCAGAGATGAAGCCCTGCACCCAAAATGCAACAATGCCAAGCAGCAGCACAGGCTGCTCCACTGCAGTTCTACAATTAGTACACTTTAATTAGTAATGTACCAGTGTAAGGTAAAAGGCATGGAGACAGAGGAACAAACAGACCATACATTTCTTCCTCGTGAAACTGCATTGGGAAAGCAAATTCCAAACAAGTCTGGCAAAAAGTTTTATATATAAACAAACTGAAAAGTTCCTTGAATCCCCCAGACAGAGTCAGTTATCTGAGAAAAATGACTCACAGCTAAAGTATTCCTATTATGAGAAGGCTCTAAAGGCATTTAGGATTTTGAATCAGAACTCTACTTGTAAATTGCAAACACAAGTTCAGCTTATCAATACCTTAATACTGGAGATAAAACAAGCATGATCCAAAAAAAGGAATAAACTGAATAAATACATCTAACAGTTGGAAAAAAGCCATCAGAAAATGCTTTGTATTTCACAAAGAAGTTTTTAATATATATTCATTATTGAAGCCTGATTTCAGAAAAATCCCTACCTTCAGGATTCTTTAGCAGGTATACTCCAGTAAACAATTTTTTTTATTTTTACCCTCATGACATTAAAACATGTCCTATCAAGCCCCAATGAGCAGAAGAATGCTTGATCAGATGTGTGTACTTGGTAACTTCCTCAGTCCAAACAAAAGACTTGGAAGAACACCTTTAAGACCTCTGCTTTTTGTGACAGCAGTTTAAACATGCAAAAATGCAGCTCTCCTGTTATTATTTTACTTGTTTAGCCATACTTTTAAGTTTTCCAATGCAAATTTATAGCCCTTACTATTCAAATAAACACAGCTTTTGTCCTTCATTTGTTACACCATTCTAAAAAAAAAAATGCATTTTTTGAAGTTATTTAAAAGTCAGTAGACACCATGTGTCAAAAAAGCTAAATAATTAAATCCAAGTTGTTCCTCCTGTACACAATGCACAAAGTAAAATATATCTTTAAAATATGTGAGAACAACAATCTGTAGTGAATCTGGAAGAACTGGGAAAGCTGAAAAGCTATTTTTCTGGTTATGTGGTATTAGAGGTTGTCAGCCAGCCACTGCTTCACTCAAGATGCAGCTTTTATAGAAAAGTCACCAGACCAACAGAACATACTGCTCCCCATAACCAGCCAAGTGGCTGCAGCCACATCCTTTTTTACCTTTTTTTTTTTTAGATTTTGAGATTTTTGAGATTTTGAGATTTTCACCTGAAACATGTCCCCTGAGGTACCAAAGGGTTGAAGGTTTACAGAATGCTCCAGCTACTGGAGCCATTTCCCCTGCCAGCTTGCTCTGGCTCCTCTGAAGCTGCAAGAAACCTCAGATTTTTTTGTGTCCTTTTCTTCTTCTCCAGGCTTATTCCTACTTCAGTTGCATTTTGTTGAATTTACTTTTCCAATTTTTCTTCACTTTTCTTTGCTTGCAGAAATTCTGCCTCAGCTTCTTTGGAGCCACACCCTCATTTCCAGCAGGCTTGGCTGGCTTGCCTTTGGCTCCCATAGCTCCTGGCCTTCCCTCGTGGGCTGTGTCCAACTGTCCTTTCACCCCAGCCATCTACACACACAAGGGCAGAGAAATGGAAAAAAAACCAACTCAGAAAACTGAACTGGAATTACCCAAATGAATCATCTGAAATCTGTATTGAGCACAAACATACACAACTACATTCAGACAACTGCCTTCTAATTCATGTAGTTTTGTTAGCATTCAAAACCCCACAATCACATCAGCGATTATATGTGGTGCTTTTTATTGAAGAGCTCTGGGAATCAGGGTGACTTCCACCCAAATCTGACTCCAACCATACACTTGAGGTGAACGTGTTTTATACTCTATCATTACATAACTTTCATGGTAATTATTAAACTTATATTGTTCTATTGTATACACAGATTTCAGCTAAACATAGCCCCCTTTAAATTTCCAACATAGTTTCTCACGATTCTTCTTATGGTTATATAATAATTATATTTAATTATTACTAAACAATCATCACATCTAACAATTATATCTTTTATCATACTGCTTACACAGGTGCACTGATCTGAGAAAACACAAAGCCCAATATTTTCAAAGACTATTTTTAACATTTTCCAGGGCTCCACTATCAGTTTCAAACAGACCCATAGGGCACACCTGCACTGGCACAGCTGCTCACAGTCAGCAGTGAGAAGTGACCAGTCCTGCCTCTTCCCTGCCTGGATTTCTTTCTGGCAGAAAGCAAAGTGCACAAGGTAATTAGGAATGGATGCAGGACAATTTTGCCCTCTTACAAAGTCAGGCTGTGGCTAAAACCAACTCACAATGCACAAAGCTGGGCACAGTTACCACATGGCTTCTACACAAATGAGTCTCTGCTGAAGAAAAATAATGCTTGAAAATTTTATTAAAGGGTCAAACTATCTCAAAAATAATAGAGGGGAGAGCAGGATCTTTGGGAAATTTCTAAAGCATGACAGAAATCACTTATTCACCAACACAAATTACGAAGCTGGATGGATTCCCAAAGAATTTCTGACCCCCAAAGGTGGCAGATAAACTATATCAGCTGTACCCCAGGGGACTGAAATAGGTTATTCCTAAACTGCTGATCTGCTTTTCCATCAAGGGAGATACTGACCTTCTGTTTCCACCCTTCCCAGGGTGCAGGTGGAAAGGTGCATGGAACTCTTCCATGAATGATGTGGTAGGGCAAAGGGAGGCTGGGATCCAGGGGAACCCACGGGACTGAGAGAGTGGCAGGTACAGCAGGCAGGTCACAGTGAGCTTTGTGCAAGTTGTAGGATGATCTCGTGCTCTTGTCAAGAGAACTCTTATAAATTGCAACTGATGAATCTCCTGCAGCGTGAGTCAATAAATAAGAGCCCTCTTCCAAACTAGAATGAGAAAAGTTCCAAGTGAAAAATATTATTTAAATGTTTTTTGGAGCTTTTTTATTTGATCAGAATAGTTAATATGGTCTTAATGCAAAAGCAGAACATCTTTAGATGTGTAGTCCCTTTAGATGTTTTGTAAAAAAAGACTGTGCACAAGAAAGCATTAATTAAACTATATTGATAAATACCTACTAATTAATGTGCTTATAATGTATTCATGATGTACTAATTTATCAACAATGTACAGACTGTCATCATATTCATCTAAACATGTAAGCATACACTGAAAACCATCCATACTGGGCAAACTGTAATTCCTTAACCAGCATCTTACAAAGAACAATGCCCATGTGGACATAGACACAAAGAACAGATGAGCTTTCAACACCCACAGCATTAAACAGGTTTAATCAGGAAGATGAAGGTCAACCAACTGCCCATACTAAAAATCTTAAGTCAAAAATCATGAACCTACAGAAATGATAAAGAGCAGGAAAAGCCCTCTAATTTGAATGAAAAGGCTTCACAGTGCAAGAAGCATGCTTCACCAAAAAAATGAGGACACTTGCAGGCTGCAAGCCTTGAAGTAGCTCTGGAAAGAAGCAGGAGAAAGGCTGCAATGTTGTACAGAGAAAAGCTGCTGCAAGTCAAAGTAAGCAGAAAGGAACACAGGGTTATTTCTACAGATCAAGCACCCAAACTCCATGTGTCAGCCCACATACAGAACATTACACCTCACTCCTGTCAACTGTTTACTCAGCTCCTAAGAGTCCACTTTGCTCTCTGGAAAAACTGGTTCACAAACCTCAAGTTCTTATTCTTTTGCATAATTTATGCAAACCTTGTAGTACCAAGCACATTTTACACACTACTGCATTATGCTATGATAGACCTAATAGAACCTGTAAAATATAAATTTCTTTATGTATATGAAGAAATAAAAATCGGAGTAGACAAACATTCTACAGAAGAAACAGGATGAGCTGGGCAATGTGGCAAACAAATACAATGAACAAAAATTGAGAACTTACTCAGACACCTTCTTCAAAACATGATGAAGTATATTTAATGAATTTGCAGGCCTGTGAAAGAAAAAATAGCAAAAGTAGTAACTTGCAAGGCTTGTTAGGGTTTGAAATTCATTGCTAAAAAAACTTAATAAAAACACTCACTTAATCAATCCAAGTTTTTCTCTTAAAGTTGCTGAAGAAATCTTTTCTAGCATAATAAGCTTTGATGTAAAAGCATCAATATGTCCTGAAAAAAGGAATTCAATTAATACACTAAAAATAAAACCAAACAAATATAAGAGCATAATTTGCAGACCTTTTTAGAAGGGTAAAAAACTTTGCTCTTTTGGCATTGAACAGTGAAAAGTACTTATCAATGTTGCACCATAATAGAGAATAAAATGTGCAGCTGCTTTAAGCACAGGCATCTGTACCCTGACTGTCTCTCCAAACCAAGAGATGCCTGACTCCAGCAAGCCTTACATCCTGGGTGGTGTGAGGATACACAGCCTTATCTCACCATGGCCTTCATCTCATCAGTTCCTTGTACTTTCTCAAGTTCATTTGACCCTTATCGCTTTGCTTCCTCCCTGGACAGATCCCAAAAGCTGATCTTCAGCAAAAAATTTACTTTTGCATTTAACATGCTTGCTTTTCTATTCTGATCTATTGCATGACTTTCTAGGGATGCTTTGTCTCTTGATTTTTTCCCCCTTTCCTTACCTGAGGAATTACAATTTACCAGTCAGGCCTTGATCATGGCAAGTTGTCTTTAACAACTTTGTCTTTGACACAGTGAGAAGCAACGATTCAAAGCTCTCCTCATTACATTTTTAAAATAAAGGCTGCCAAGGACAGTTTAGTCCACATTTCACTTGATGAGCAATAAGAATCACCAGCATAGCTTGGACATGCATTTGTCTACTGTACTTTGCCTTCTGGTTCTTTCCATGCTGAGGTTTTCCCAGAAATCTATTCTATTTCAGCTCCCAGAAGGAGGATGGGGAAAAGGCAGCATAATAAAATACAGCCTACTCTGGAATTTACTGTCTTACTACAAATCTGTTCTCTTAGGAAGTGTAAATGCTTCAATTGCACAGTTAAAACTGCTAAATCAAAGCATTTCACATTCCAAGCTAGCCATCACTAAGTTTATGTGCTGTGTAAGAAGACCAAGCAATAACTCTCACTTCAACAAATTAAAAAAGATGCACCAGGACAACCCATTTCTTTTAAACGTTGTACATTTGTTACTTTTCTTGATATCAGTATTTTGTGCAAGACTAAGCAGCAGAATTTCGTATTTTACATTGCTGACTAGAAAAAGAGGCTTGAAGTCATTATTAAAAATATAATTTTAAAAAAATCTGTTTGAGTTCTGTATTCCTCATCAGCCTGTCCTCAAATCAGACTTCTCTACTTCTAAACACACTCATAACTGGGAAAAAAAAGTAATTACAAAATATCCATGAACTATTTCCACCTAGTTTACATAACTGTATCTTATATTTGAGAAGTGACTGATTGAAAATACTTGACATGTAGTAAGTTATCCAAGACTAAGTATTTTTTTTTCCTACCCATTCTTCAAATAATGTTAATTTAAAGGCCAATATTATTCCATTCACGTGAAGGTAAACTGTTCTTGCAGAAAGTTTTGCTTAGGCACTCAATGTAAGTAAGTGAGTAATGCTCAGGGTAAAATGCTCCTATTAATCAGTAAAGCTTATCACAAGTTTATTTACTGCTTAGACAAGTACAAGTGCCTTATTTGGGGAGCTTGTCACAGAGATTACTGCCTCTGCAGACAGAGGATTTCCTATGGGAGCAGCAAGGGGACTGAACAACCAAGGCAGGTGCTTTGCTAGCAAGAGGAAGGCAGTGCTCTTTGTTTGATGATAGTATCTCTACTTTTTGAGAACATCCTAAAAAACCACCTCAGCTTCATTTCCCCCCTGCAGCTGGAGGCCATGGTTCCACATCTGATTTCTGTCTCAGCCCCTGAGTCACAGCAGAGTGGAGATCCTCCCTCTGTCACACACAACAGTGCTGGACAAGCGTGGGGTACAGATCAAGGTCCAAAGAACTTTTCATCCATACTCACTTGGCAATACAAGAGATGGTTGAGACAGCAAATTAAGCTTTTTCAAGAGCCAAAACCACCTATGCAGTTTAACACTGAAGTCTGCTACATGCTTAAAATTTAAAAGTTAAAGGGTTAACTAACTGTCTGATCAAGAATGCAAGTTGTAGGTACTGTGTTAGTAAGATGATAGTTTTCAAACCATGTTGTTCCATACTTCCACACTCATACTGTGAGGCAAATTCAAAAAGAGCAGTAACTTTATGTCTGTACAAAATGTTTGATTTAAAAATTCTTTTATTACAGAACACAGCTTTTCACTTAAAATAATTCAAATTACAGCATGATTTCAGAAGCTTTCTGCCCTTCTCCTTACACTGACCAGATCACTGCAGCAGTCTTATTATCAGGTATCAGATTAGTGACAGAGAATGAGAGATTCACCCCATTTCTAGTTGCCCATAACACTGGGATATCATCACCATCAGAGAACTGTCCCTGGAGTTTCAGGACAAAGCTCTCTGCTGCAAAGAGCTCTCTGAGTGCAACACTGCATTTTTCACAGCTCCCTTAAGAATACAAACTGAAAGGCAGAATTTCACAACTACCTTGCAATACACCAAGAGCAGAAAACTCCCCATGTAGAATATGGTAACAGCTGCCTAATCAAAACTGTGGTAGATGCTCTTTCATAGAATGGATATTTACTTGCACATATTTTTTTTACCTACTCTGTAAGAAACTACATGGCAGTCAGTACCAAGAATCTGCCCCACAGGCCAGGAGCACCCATTTACTGCGCAGGACAGAGACAACCCAGAGAATCCTGTGTCTCCTCAGAGCCCACAAAAGGAGAACTCCTGTGTGCCCCAGGCCTTGCTTCTGGAGAGTGGATCCAGGAGCTGACAAACCAACATGACTGGAATATCCTGGCATTGAGAAGCACTGGTGACTTTGTCCCAGGCATGGGAACAGAGATGTGCTGGAGGCCAGTCCAGGGCAGTGCCAGTTCCACAGCCATCAGGGACCTCCAGGAGACAGAGGAAACTGTGCTGGAAGGGGAGGGCTCTGGGGCTCTTCATCTGCAACACCACCTGCACAGCCATCCTGCTGTCTCCTGCATTCCCAAGAACCTCCATAAAAAGAGGTGGTGGCCGGATGAGCTGTCTGCAAAGTCCTGTGCAAGCCATGCCTTCCATTTCCTGTACTGGGAGATTAGATAGACACTCACTCCTTTCCCTTGTGTACTTCACAGACACCAGCCCTCCCTCCACAGCTCACTGTTTCCTCACACTGCTTGCCACTCTAGAAATGTTCATAAAAACTTTGCTAACACTTCCTAGAGGAGGCCCAACTGCAGTGCAGCCCAGTATGCTGGAGGCATCCTCAGTGTAAATATCAGAAAGCACTCAGATAGTGCTCTGCTGGCTAGAGAGAAGCAAGGCCTCTGTACTGTACATTAAGATACAGTTACAAACAGAGAACTCTGTACATAATTAGCTCTTTGTAATGATTTCTTTTGAATGGAATGGAAAAACCACATCAAATCCTGCTTTTAAAGTTTAAAATTAGAAATATAATTTCCATTGAATAAAGAGAGCAGACCAGGATGCAATTGGCAAATGCATTAGATTTCACATAATCCTAATAATTCTGTGGGAGCTTGCCTAGTTTGTAGAAACTGGAAAACAGAGAAGTTAGCATTTCTAAAATAGCATTCTGATGTGAGCCAACAACAGCAAAAGTGTAATTCAGTGCACAAGTGGAAAGGTTAGGCAACCACAGGCCACAACTGCTGCCATAACAACCTGAAAACCCAGATTTGTTTCTACAAAAAAAGCAAGGCAACCCCACTGCAGAACATCCACTCACTGTACAAACAGGATTGCCCTCACTCAGCAGCATGTGCCAAGCATATTCTAAGTATCAACTAACCACTTCATTGCAAATTTTCCTTTTAAAAACTTATTAATTACAAGATAATTGGTATCAGAAAGCTCTCCATATATTAAAATGGTTGTTAAAATAATCTGGTCACATTCCTTATATATATCATTTTAATTTCTCATAATATACACAATATATATCTCAACAGACATAAGAACTTCCCAGACTTATTTTAAAATGTCATTGTACAAACATGAATACAGCATTTTCTACAGGACATTGATACTATTTATCTAAAACCAAAGGTGGAATTTTCTCATCCAGCACCCAACAGAAATTTTAGACAAAAAACTTACTGAAGATAGATGTAAAAAAACAAAAATAGGAAGTCAAAATAAGACAGGATATATGGAATACACCTTTAATAAGTATGCATCTCTCCTGTTATTCTACAAACACTCACACATACATACATGTGGCTTCAGCAAAACTCAAGACATGAACTTACCAACATAAAATAAGCATTTAGAATGCAGCATACTCTGTGTCCACAGCTGGCACACTTCACTTTCTGTAAGAGCTTCCACACCATAGTAGGCTTGGTACTCCAGTTTTGGCAACAGGAATATGGGAGTTGGCTGGAAAAGAGAAGATAAGAGAAAAGTTAGCACTCACTGTCCAAAAATATCCACAATTTACTACATTTTGTGGTACTACAGTCCTCTAGCATAGCTGAAGTAACAAAGACATTTCAGAGATTTTGTTTGAAGGTTCACAATTTGTGAAATCCACAGTACAAACTTTGGAGTACTTTATACAGAGAAAGATGAAATCGACAGGAAAAAAAAAAAGAAAAAAAAGGCCTGGGCAAGTTTTTACAAATAATAAAATTCTGACACTTACTAATTTCTCCATGTGACTAAATTAATTTCAAGTTTACACTTCTGTGCTCTACTGCCCTCTGCAGCAATTTAAGAAAAAACACACAACATTTCTAATTAGCCTAATATTAGCAGAATTCTGCTATTTATCACTCCTGTCAGAATCTCATTTGAAATTAGAACTTAATGCTTGGAGTCTCATTTGAAATCAGAGGCAACCCTAACTACTGAGTTAACCCTAATGAGCACTGCCAGTCCTCACTGACAACCCCCAGTCTAAATTTAAGCAGAAATTTGAAAAAAACCCAAAAAACAAAAACAAGTGATTGGTTTCTGAATAATGAAGCAGTTATTCCCAGGCATTTATACGCAGTGGATCAATAGCAAACAGATGGGATTTCTTCAGAGCAAGATGCAAAGCACAGACTCTGGGCAAGGAATCAGTGTTACAATGATTATTTCCATTTCAACATAGCACAAACACCTCACAAAAACCTGCCTGCTGTAATTCTGGGATTCTCAGGAGGGACATACACAACAAATTTTCTGAATGATTCACAGGACTCTTAAAAAAATTACAAATTTCTGAGAATTATAGAATACGGTTTCCTTCTCTTGATGCTGCAAGGAGTATTTTGATTACAGTTGCATTCGAACCATTTAATTCCATGACAAACTATTTGCTAAGAAATGCCACAGTATTTTCAAGCAGAACAAACAGAATCTCTTTTTGGGTTCTCTGTTGCTCATTTTATCTCCTATTTCCCTGCTTAACTAGGCATGATAGCAAGGCTGAATCCTGCTTGAAAGTATTTATTGTCACAAACATTCTCAAAGCCTTGGGCCAAACCCTAATTACTCCATTAACTTTTAAGAATAGTTCAAAAAATTACTTTGTTTTTACATAAGTATCATTACCCAGGCATATTACTGTAGTAAAAAAATGGAGAATCACTTCCTTATCTTCTAATCAAGTAGCTCTAAAGAAATCACAAGTTATTCTTCCCTGTCCTGCTATAACAAATATTTACTTACAGGAGACACACTGCAGAGTCCCAAGTGTCTCAGTGAAAGCATAAATGCTATCAAGGACTGGGAATCCCAGAAATGCCAACATTTCAGAGTTGAGCACAACTGTTTAAAAAAAACAAACCAAAACCAGCTGAAAACAAAATCCTTACCTTTTGGGCTCTTTTCTTTTTCTGGTATTGTGTCAGTGAGTTGACTTTCTGCACACTGCAACGCACGAGTAACAGCAGATCACCCAAACTGAAAAGCTTGTACACAACATTGCCTTCCTCAGGTGCTTGGTACTCTGAGGGGTCTTCCTCAAGCAGCTGAAGTTCACTTGGCAGCTTTGCTAGAGAAAATGAATAAAGCAGAAAATGTCAAGCTTGGACATTTTTTACAATGAAGCTGATTAGCTTTGCTCCCTTGCAGTAGAGTTTTTTGTTCAGTTTTTTTTTTTACTCTAGGATCTGTTTTGTTTCCTATGATTAAGGGGTGAAAACTACTTGGCACAAAAAAATTCTTATATTAAAAAAAATAAAATAATTACATTTGGGAAACATTTTCTCTTAAAGAATCTATTTCTAAATAATCCTCCATCATTCAATTTCTCATACAAAGAGAACTCCAAATGTGAGACTCCATTCTGGTAGAGAAGTAGTTCAAAAGCTGCTTTTTAAGCCACACCCACTCAGCACAAAGGAGAGAAAAAGCTGATTTGCAATGAATGGCTCCTGAGAGCTGCCATCCATTCATCAGGCACTGACTCAGGTCTCAGGTCTGGATGGCAGCACAAGTCTCCCAGCACATGGAGTTCAATCACGACACCAGAACGTTCAAAGGTGCTACTGCATCTCCCAGTGCAGCTTTGAGGACATAACAAACACCCCTTCAACCTTTAGAAACATTTGAACAAAATGTTGCAAATAAACCCAGTAAACTCCTCATGCTTTGCTGAAAATGTATCCCATTCTTTTTTTTTGTCCTGCAGATATGTGGAAATAGGTCTCCAAACTATACCTACAAATAGGGATTGCTGTAGTGCTATGAACAAATACATTTTTAACATTAAATTCAGCGTTTATGTGCATGCACACTGTGGGAGATATCACCCAAGGAACTGGAAGTAATTTTCCCTTAGTAAAATATATAACTCAATTCTCGCTTTGTGCAAAATAGACATGCAAAGAGGTTTCTCAGCTTGTTACAGAACTTGCCAATTGTAGAATTATGCTTTCTAGGCCTACACAGTCACTTTTCAGCACGTTGGCAATATTAGTTTAACAATCTCTATTTAAAAAAATTTATTATAAAATCTGAATTCTATACTCCATCTTTTTAACACAGAGAGAAATAAAACATCGTGCCTCAGCCTTTCAAACTGAGGGAGGAGACATGGTCTTAGTGATTATTCAGTTAAAGCAATAAGGATGTAGGAAGTGGTAACACAGTTTCAACTAGAACAGAATTAATTGTGTTAACCTATAGATTAAGTGATTAATTCCTACATGATCAAATGCACACCTCCTCAGAAAATACCAAACACACTTTCCCACCAAAAAGCATGGATTTGTTGGAATTAAATGTTTGAGGAGAGCATCTGTCCTGACACAACCTGTCTGGTTTCCTGCACAGTTATCCAACACAATGAAGTGTTTCTAACTTCAGCTGTTCAGAGCTCAGATGCAACTCGGGCAGGTGAGGAAAACCTCCAGGGACCATGGATCTTCACAACTTGTAATTCTGGGCTAAGGTCCAGGGGCAGCAGAGATTCCATACCCAGCTAATGGCCTGAAGACTTGGAGAGGTGGATTGTAGTGTATCCTCATTTGCCTTCTGGGACAGAGTGCTGGGAGTTAAGCAACAGCAACTGAACCACGAAGCTTAAAACTTAAGACATATAAACTTAATTTTCCCCCCATTTTTAATTGCATAATTTGATTAATTTTTATTCTACAAAAATTTAAATAATTCTACTTTTGATTGACAAGAAACTCCTTTTGCAGACTAGGCTACTCAAATATTTGAATTTCTATGCAAAAAGAACTCATTCCACTACCAAATGATTTCTCAAAAACCTTGTGCATAACAACTTATTTCTCTACAGTAAAACAGTATTTCACATTCACCTCTGTGGACAAACAGCTCCCAGCGCTCCCTTCTGTGTGCAAGACAGCAATTCCCACACAGAAAAGGTACTGTTAACTTGAGGCACATCTCTAAATAGCTGTAAGAGATGCTCTATTGACACACTGGGTTCAATCTTCCTCCTTACACAATGACCACACTTACTCTTTGGCACTCCCTCAAAAAGCCACGTCCAGCTATTTCTAGAGGAGCTGGTGGCATTGGAGGCTGGGGCTGGCACCGTTTCTGTGCTGGAGGTCACCAGTGGCTTTGGAGACTGAGGCAGCTGGGCTGGCACAGCATTAGAATTATCACAGCTCACCACTGGCTCAGGAGCTTTTGGGGAAGGGGACTTGAGAAGTTCAGTCTGCATTTTCAAAATTTGCCCAACGGGATCCAATTCTCTGCATAACTTTCTTGGAGGTTTCTTGGAGGCTTTTTTGCCCTGATCTGTGGAATGTGAGCAGTCAGTGAAGCTTGCTGAAGGACTCTGGGCAGGGCAAGGAGATCTGGCAGTCTCTGCTGAGGCAGAGGAAGCAGCTGGTGGTACAGCTGGCTTGCATGGAGCAGTGGTTTCACACTCTGCATCAATCACCAGACGCTCCTCATCCGTGTCACTGCTGCACAAAGCAGTGCAAGTCTCTTTTTTCTGGGCACCACCAGGCTCTTTCTCAGAACTCACTGCAACAGGTAGAGGATTTAGTTTTGTTTCATTGTCCAATACTTCCTTGGCCATGACATCCTGTGCTTTGCTCAGTCCTACCTCCACTGGCTGAAAGCTTTTGCAAGGAGAATGTTCTTGAGGGCTGCAGCCTGCAATGCCATCTAAAGATGGAAGCTGCACGCTGGCACATGCTGAATGCTCTTGCTCAGAAAGGGGGTTTTTCTCCTCTTCATCCCCTCTGTTTATGGCAGATGAATTCTTCCCCCCTATTTTTAGGCCATGAGATAGAATTTTAGCAGTGTTACTAGCTGTAGGAAAAGTAGTTTCCATTTTACAAGTTCTTGAGAGCTTGGTTGTTGCTCCAAAAGTTTCAAGCTCTGTAACATCATCATCAAAATCCATCCCTGTGTCATCTGGAGGAGGAATTGTCCTGCACTGGTAGGTGTCAGGACACACCTTACCACAGGGATGAGAAAGTGATAAAATTAAAACATGCCAAAACAATTAAACCAAGAAATGAGACATTGCTGAACTGAAAACACAAAAAAATGTTCTACCATCCATATTTCACTGTTAGGAAAGTTGATCAACAATTGAAAAACAATTGTTCTTGTTTGCCACTGAATATCTTGGGCCCTATTTAAGGGACCCAAGTTTAAAGGCCTTTCTAAAGAGTAAAAGTTCACCAAACTTCTTCCACTGAAGCAAACTGCTTTTGACAAGTGCTCAGTTTCACTTCAGTAAAAAAATTTTTTGCTAGGCCTGTTTCCTTTAAAAAAATCCCAAACCAGCAACACACCATCCCCAACAAACAGCAAAAGACATTTTAATGAAGTAAATATTAAGGCTGAGATGCCCATGTAGAAGCACTTAAAGGAACTACACAGGGTCTGTAACTCAACAACAGAAAACCTTAATTTCCCTTTATCACAGGAAAAGCAACTCAGGAATTTTAACAGGGTTTTGGTTTTGCTTATTTTTAAGAATCTGTGAATCTACATACATCCCACTGAAGCAGGTTGTCCTCAGCTGGTTTGTCCATTGATACATCAGAAATTGGAACATAAGATGTTTTAGTTGCTAGGAAATCCATTGGAATTTCATGGAAGATTTGATTCCTCTCTCGTACTGTCATTTCTTTTCTCAGCAGAGGTGGATCAACATAAACCACTTTAGCTGGTTTGCTACCTTTGCAAGAATGAAAAGAGTACATATTAAATGAAAGGAAGAAAGACTGTTGTGTAATTTAAATAATAAATCTTTCAACTTCCAATTACAGTCAAATCCACTGTACATAACACCAGAAGAAATGAAAAATGATCCTTTCATTCATTAACAACAGAAGATAAAAGTATGTCCAGATATGGTGTGAATGATTGTGATCCTGCAGCAGCAATACACACCTCATTAATAGCTGAACATATTTCAAATGCAGTTCTAAGCAGAGAATTTGTAAAATAAGAACTGAGGATTCATCATTTCCTATACAGCATCATATCATCAAATGTATTCTGTTTTCCAAAAAGATCTTTTCTTCCTTGTTTGAAAGTCAATTCTTCTTTTAAGTCTCATTGCCATGATAGCTGCAGTTCATTTCTCCTCTGATCAGTTAACTCTGTCCAAGCTCTGCTGCCCCACTCCTTTGTTTGCACCTCAACACACTTACACATCTGAATCCCCCAAAATGAAAGCAGTGCCCTGCCCATCCCAGCAGAGAAAGCCAAGGCACACGGTGAACACAGTCTCCAGGGTCTCCTGGTTTATGAACAAAAGGAAATGAAAGCAAGGGGTTGGTTACAGGGAAAAGTGGAAAAGGAAGGCACAGGGAAACCCTTCAAGAACCTCCATGTATTTCTATCACCATCTGAATGCCCTTCAGGTGTTAATTCTGGATCCAAAATTAGGTTTTAAAACTGTAATGCTGCTACAAAAGGAGTCAGGCATTATCTTTCCTGATAGTCATTTAATTTACATAGGAAAATGAAAATTTGTAAATGTTGCAGGTATTTGATAGCTTATTTACTGTCTGTAAGTCTGCTATAGAAACTTGTGCTAAAAGCACAGAAGGACATTCCAACACAACAAACATTATAAATACTTGAATAAACCATGCTGTGTTAAAAAAAGAAAAGGGTAAGGGAGGAAATTTATATTCAGATTACTGAAGAAGTGCTTGACAAGTAAAGTAGAGCAGTCAGGTGAGTTCATCAGCTTATTAAAACATTTTGTGCTGCAATTGAAAAAATTATCTTCATGGACATTCATTCCTTATTTACTGTTCTGTGATGTAATTAGATCCTTTTAATTCCAGAAAAGGTTTGCTCTTTACTTTTTCATAAAATTTCTCTGGTTTTTTTTTTTACTGAAATCAGTTCACTTGAATTTTAACAGGTTCATGCAGTTGTTTTATTTCCAAGAACAACAACTGAGAGTTTTGAAAAGCAAAGCTGGTTCTAACTGGTTTTTGTTCTGGCTTTTTCCCCCAGGTGGAAAATAGCTGAATGTCCAAATTCAACATTTACTGACTGTAGAGGTTGTTCCTATTCTCAGTAACAAGATGGAAAAGGTACAGGAACAATATCCAGTGACCCTGGATCAGCTTTCCAGCTTCTTTGGACAACCCTCCCCATAGTTTTAACAACAAAAACATCCCATACCTGCAACAGGGATCATTTTAACACAAACTGGAATTTCCCACTGCTCCTTGTAGTTCAGTCCGTGATTATTCAGCAGAGTAAATAACGATTGATTACTTAAAACAACTTGGGGACAATATTTCAAAGCAAGTTTTTCTGCATTTGAATCTGAACTAATATCCTAAAGAGAAAAAGAAGTTATTTCTTCCAAAGTTCTTCTTTTAAGAAATACACATAAATTTAAATTTCCAAGAAAAACTCCAAACTCAACCAAAAATGAATATATACAACCCCTACCCCCAAAAAAGTCCAAAGACTACCACAGTGCCAGGCTGCAAAGGAAATGAAAGAAAAAAAACTTCCCTGAAGGTTTTTAGCTCAATCTAATGCATTCACTTTGCAGCATAAGAAAATACATCTTTTTAACTTGTATTTTCAGTTAATTTCAATACATTTGAATTACTAGGTTGTATAGGAATTTAGATAATCATGAAATACAGGAACATGCTGAAGTAAAAAAAATCCCCCAAACCAGATTAAGTCACCAATATACACTACAGAGCTTCTTATAAGTTAGCCAACAGCACAATAAAGACATCTAATACTGAAGTGTGGTTAAAACTGCACAGTTGTTTCAATACTGACTAGATATAAAGAACCTTAAAACAAATATAAACTCACCAAGAATACAAATTCAGAACTGAAATAATAAAATTGTTAAATTTTACAAGTACATATTTCCATGAAGGAAGGAGGCTGGGAATGCTCATGAGGCAGAAGAACATAATCAAGGACTATGAAGATAATGGGAGCCCAGGAGCACTGAGGACCACGAGAGGAGTAAGAAAAACCCAGCTATGTTCTTATGTTCTTTTTGCAGCCACCTCAGCCATCATCAGAAGGGCTCTGTTTAACAGCTTTGAGGTTTATACCATTCTCCTGCATCACCTCTGCTCCTTTTTTCAGCAAGTGTCTCTGAAATTACAGTGCTGCTGGTGAAAGCTTGGTTTTTAATATGTGAAGAAACTCCTTAAAATAGCTGAGGAAAAGTTATGTGGAATAAACAGTCAAAACCCTCAGTTCTACAGTATGAAAACTCCCTGATTTTCCCAGTAGAAGAACACAAACAGAAATACAGCTATTTCATGGTCCAATGCAGTCTAAAAACAGTTCAACACATAAAAAGATCAGATTGCACTTGTGTACAAAATATGCCTTAAAAATAACAATAAAAAGGCTACTTACATGATGCATCACATGAGCCTTTTTTTCTGGGGTTATAATAGATGTAACAGTGCTATAGTCTGTGGGCAGCTGAACGGGCATGGAAGGGAAATCTGTCTTACCACGTCTTGCTGTGCCCTGGGGGAAATCAAGCACCATCAAAAAACAGCTTCACAGCAATCATGCTCACCAACACTGCATTTCTTAGCAAGAAATATATTAGAAATTTACACAGGTCCAGTATAAAGTTACATGATGAGAGAAAACACACTAGCAATGTAATCTTTTTATGGCAAACATCCTGTGAAAAGGGTTAACAGACTTACTAACAAAATAATTTTATTAAAGTTTTAATTAATGATTTAAATTATAAAGTATAACCCCTAACTCAAAAACTGGGGAATAGCTGCAAAAACCCCTAATCCTAGCTTACCACAACTCTGATGTAATTCTACCTACTGAAACCCCCCCACAACCCAATCTGAGTACATAAGGCATTACCATTGCAAGAAGATTTTTTTCCAGCCTAAAGGTCAGCTGTGTATGAAACTTTCCTCCCATGATACTCATGATCTCCTGCAGGGTGTAAACCTCTGGATACTTCTCCACATGTCCAATACATGCACGTAGCAATTCCTAACACAAAAAAAGAATAATAATGTATGCATTTGTATCTTTCATAAGAATGGGGGATTTTGGGAGGATTTTTTAATTTTGAAAAGTGTTTTCTATAATTTCAAGTTGCATTTAAAAACTTACAGCTACCAATTCAGATCTATAATACTCTCCCAATCACTGCTACGAGAACTGCAATATATTCCAGATTCTCCTCAGCCCTTTGTAAGCAAGGCTGACAATGCAAGCACACAACTCAGGCCAATAATTAAAAATGTGCAGTTTAGTACAGTCTGAAATGGGCTAAATAGGTAATTTTCTTTTTAGTTACTTATCTTGGTTTTTAGAGGAAGTAATATTTTTTGTGCTACCACCCAGCTTACACTAAGCCTAGGCAAAAGTCACAAAGGTAAAGGCACAGGATGATTCCATTTGTATTGAAACTCTCTGTCCTGTCAACTCCACATAATTTTTACAAAATCTGAATTAAGTATTTAGGATATTTAGATTTTATTTAGTAACTAGAAAGAGTGCTTTCTGCAAGTTGGTTAAAACAAAACATAGGCCTCTATTTCATTTTTAAGTCAGGGTATCAACAATAAATAGGACTTGAAGTCTGGAGACACCTTTTGTGACCAGATGACAAGATACAAAATTGCAAAGCCAATCCCAATATTCAGGGTGCAAAGAAAAAGAAAGCAAGATCTTTGTCTTCACACGTGCCCAAACTCTGTGTTAACCCAGTAATGGCAAGGTTTAATGAACTTTTTTCAAAAACGTGCTAAAAACCCACAAATGATGCATGAAGTTGCATTCATGTTTGATCTTAGAATCATCAAAGTGGATATTTAACACAGCATGAACTAGCAGAGGGTTATGATTAAAGCCTCAGTACCTTCCAATTACAGTCACTATAACATGCTACTGTGACATGCTACTAAGCTTTCCTGTGGAGGGAAGCTTCACATGCTGCCCAGTGTATCTAGGAGCCACTTCTTACTGCAAATGCACACTCATAGTGCAGCTCCTCCTTTCCTGAATATAAAGAAGCAATTTAGTTATTTGATGAATAAATATGTTTGCAGAGATTTCTTCTAGGACATCTTTTGGGCTCCAATGAAGCACAGACCCAGCCCCCTGTGCAGAGTAGGGGAAATGGCCACTTCCCCATCTCATCCCAACAGAAATCAGCAGGGCAGGCAACACCACAACCATGAGCACTTCTACCTATCCTCATCAGGATCCCAAGCTGATTTTTTAAGAAGGCCTGGAATAAAGCATGGCATTGGTAATTACCTCAGTATAACGTCGGGCATCTTCAGAGATGGCATCATAATCCTGGGCACAGCTCTTTGCAGCGTTTTGGGCAAATTTCATAAATTCTGCAATTTCATTGCTTACTACTTCTTTCATTTGCTGGGGGAAGGAAAAAGCTATTTTTGAGACAAAACAGGATCCTCTATACTAGACATGTAAACAACAAAATTTCCAGAGAGACCGTACAGGTAATGATATGAGGGAAGATAAAAAAAATTCCACTTGCTACTCAATTTGACAAGTACTCAGTTTCACTTCAGTAAAAAAATTTTTTGCTAGGCCTGTTTCCTTTAAAAAAATCCCAAACCAGCAACACACCATCCCCAACAAACAGCAAGTTTCCTTTGATATAGAGATTTATAAATAGAGAGATTATAAGACATGGTTGCTGAAGTTTACAGGGCAAAGTCACCAAGAGTTCTGATTTCATGAGAAATTGTAAGTAACAACAACACAGTAGATACTGATGTGCCTGGAAACGATATTTCCATTGTTACAGCATTAAATAAAATAGCATCAATAAAGAAGCATGGGAAAGCAAATGCAATGGCACAAAACAATTTGCTGATTAATTACATTTTACAGGACTCAAGTAAAATGATGCTCCCAGCCAACACAAATGTGGCCCATTTACACACATGGCTGAGGCTCAGCAGCGGGGGAACTCGGCAGGGCAGCACACAGAGCCCTCCCTGCCCCTGAGCACGGCTCCCCGAGGCTCAGCAGCACGGGAACTCAGCCTGTCCCAGTGTGAGCACAGCAGGGCAGCACACAGGGCTCACCCTGGCCATGAGCACGGCTCCCCGAGGCTCAGCAGCACGGGAACTCAGCCTGTCCCAGTGTGAGCACAGCAGGGCAGCACACAGGGCTCACCCTGGCCATGAGCACGGCTCCCCGAGGCTCAGCAGCACAGGAACTCGGCAGGGCAGCACACAGAGCCCTCCCTGCCCCTGAGCACGGCTCCCCGAGGCTCAGCAGCACAGGAACTCGGCAGGGCAGCACACAGAGCCCTCCCTGGCCATGAGCACGGCTTCCCGAGGCTCAGCAGCACGGGAACTGAGCAGGGCAGCACACAGAGCCCTCCCTGGACATGAGCACGGCTCCCCGAGGCTCAGCAGCACGGGAACTGAGCAGGGCAGCACACAGAGCCCCCCTGGACATGAGCACGGCTCCCCGAGGCTCAGCAGCACGGGAACTCAGCCTGTCCGTGTGTCAGCACAGCAGGGCAGCACACAGAGCCCTCCCTGGCCATGAGCACGGCTCCCCGAGGCTCAGCAGCACAGGAACTGAGCAGGGCAGCACACAGAGCCCTCCCTGGACATGAGCACGGCTCCCCGAGGCTCAGCAGCACAGGAACTGAGCAGGGCAGCACACAGAGCCCCCCGGCCATGAGCACGGCTCCCCGAGGCTCAGCAGCACAGGAACTCAGCAGGGCAGCACACAGAGCCCTCCCTGGACATGAGCACGGCTCCCCGAGGCTCAGCAGCACAGGAACTCAGCAGGGCAGCACACAGAGCCCTCCCTGGACATGAGCACGGATCCCCGAGGCTCAGCAGCACAGGAACTCAGCCTGTCCCAGTGTGAGCACAGCAGGGCAGCACACAGAGCCCCCCTGCCCCTGAGCACAGCTCCCCGAGGCTCAGCAGCACAGGAACTCGGCAGGGCAGCACACAGAGCCCTCCCTGGCCATGAGCACGGCTTCCCAAGGCTCAGCAGCGGGGGAACTCGGCAGGGCAGCACACAGAGCCCTCCCTGGACATGAGCACAGCTCCCCGAGGCTCAGCAGCACAGGAACTCAGCCTGTCCGTGTATCAGCACAGCAGGGCAGCACACAGAGCCCCCCTGGACATGAGCACGGCTCCTCGAGGCTCAGCAGCACGGGAACTCAGCAGCAAGGGAACTCAGCTGTCCCTGTGTGAGCACAGCAGGGCAGCACACAGGGCTCACCCTTCCCAATGAACACAGCCAAGATCACAGCAAAGGGTACCCACAGCCTAACACTACCTAAGACTGCCACAGCCACTATGAAATGCTAAAATCACAGTAAGAACAACTCTTAACTTCCTCCTCAGAAAAAAAAAAGGGGGTTTTCTGGGGACTACGGGGCTGTTTGGTCAGTTGTCTAAGATCTACACTTATCCTCAGTCCTTCAGACCACTTTAAAAAAACCCTACAAAACAAAAAAAGCCCCAAAACCCCAATTTCAATGAAATTACCAAATACATTTTCAATATCTATTAAAAAGCTTATTCCGAGTACTTCAAACCTTTATCACCTTTCATAATACCATGAATTCTATGACAAATTGAACTCAAAACAAGTTTTCCCCCTTTCTTTTATTCTCTGTAAGAAAAACAAAAATTGTATGACTCCCTCTGTGATGGTGATATCTTACCATATATGTGAAAAATTCCCTTTGACTTGCTTCATTAACTTGGAAATGGTTTCTTTTTTCTGAGAACTTAGTCATCAGATACAAGTATGTCTTCTGCTCCTTTTCAGTCAAGCAAGAGGTAAATGGATAGGGGAGTCTGGGTTCTGGGAGAGGATGGTCATCAGCTGGGCCTTTGGCCTCCCCAAGTGACTGTGCAGCCTGCATGCCACAAGTCTGTCTGTTTTCTGAAGAGTTTGCCAATGCCTCTGCATTTTTCTTTGCCTCTCTGAAAGAAAAGTAACAAATGAACCAATTTACAGCTTTCACATGAATACTAATATTAGCCAGAAACAACAAAGGCAGCTGTGCAAGCCTGAGCTGCTCTGAGACACTGCCCTTCCAATTCCTATCTGTGCCAGTGGACTATTCTTACTCTAAAACTTCACCTGTACAATCAGACTAACCCTTAGTTCCAGCAGCAGGTCTGCAACTGGTTTAAACACAAACAAACACACAAGGTAGGATTTTCTGCTGTCATCTTATTGCAGGGGTTCCATACTGTTGTCTCCTTATCACAAAAGTTCCAAACCTCCTTGTTGTTTCTCATGGGCAGCTCCTCAGAGCACTGACTCTTTTTCACAAAGGAGCCACCTCACTCCAGTTCCCTTCTCAAGGGCCCACCCCACCCTTTTATAGCACTCTTCTTCTCATTGGTTCAGCTGTGGCCTGGTAAAGGCAGGCCTGCTCCTAATCTTTGATAATTGGCCCAGCTGCAACTCCTTAGGGATAAGACTACTTTCTACACTACCTTTATTATCTTATATTCTATCCCCCTACAATTTTCTTTAAAAAAAAAACCAAAATGGTGTTAACAAGCTAAATATGAAACACAATATTTGTTCTGGAAACACACACTGTTAACGAAAGGATAAAGAATCTCCACATTTCATCACTCACTGGTGGCCACTGTTCAGAAACTGAATTAAAGGTCAGACTGTCAGTCAGTTCTGATAGTAAAGGAGAAAGATTTAACTAGAAGAAGCCTTTCCTTCATTGCAGAAGAAGGAAATCAAAATTACTTCATTGTAACAATAGAAATTCCAGATTTCAATGAAGAAATTCTTACAGAATACACAAATCAAGCATTTAATTTTCTACTCTAAATAATGCTGGAATCGGTCACCAAAAATAATAGTAGGGTAGGGCAAAGGGCATGGCTGTTTTAACAACAATAAAGAAGTAACATAAAGCTTGTTCTTAAAGCAGCTCCAGTCAAACAAAGGTCAACCAGCCTAGCCCTGGTCTATTTAAAATAATTGTACTTAAGAGAGGAAAATATTTAAGGCTAACAAAATGAATATTAACTGCTGATCTTGGAAAAAGCATATTTTTAAGATACTATTTCAGCAGTAGAAAACATCTCAAGTGTCATTCAAACCCAGCAGTATCACATCCACAGCTCTTAATAACACTTCACAGCTGTCTCTCTAAATACAAGAATGTGTCCATCCTTGTGGCACAAACTGGCAAATTTAATTAAGCTGTAGCAGCAACAAGATGCTGACTCAGATATGCCAGTGTAAGAACATCAAGAAATTCTAGCAGCTCAAATTGGCTACATTCAGCACCGAATGAAATGGCAGCACATCAAGATCATTTCACTATGCACTGCTGTCACAGTCTTCATTGGGGTGCAAACCAAAATAATCTGACAGAGCTTTTCTGGCCATATTTACAGCATTATACTCTATTTGAGCTGACAGCTTAAATTTTTCCCCTTCATTTTATCAGCAACCCGCTTCCACTGCTTCTGCACCAAGAGAAAATACACTTTTGTAAATATCTATGAGAAACTCCCCAAAATTAGCACATTTCCTCTAGCTTTTACTTCCACACTTGCTTCAACAGGTGGAATTTCTCTTCCTCTTGACTCTGGGGACACAACCCAGCTCCATCCATTTCTGATCTTTACCAGGTGCAACCTCTCTGGCTTCTTCTGGCTGTAAACCCCCCCAAACCACACACAGCTGGCCACAATTCCCACTCCTGAGTGTCCACCCCAGAAACTCTTCTAAGGAAGAATCCCACAGCAGTACCAGATGTACCAGTAACAAGCTGTGAGGCTGTGCTTGCATCTTGCCAATTCAAGGACAGTTGCTCCAATAGGTATGAACCAGAACAGCTTCTCCAGCTGGAGATGTGGGGCGAAGCCATGCAATGTAACAGGCAGCCCCCTCAAATACACCCTCTCATTGTCAGTTCACAAAAACACAGTAATTCCCCTCTTGAACAAACTATTTCCCCACATGCTGAACTCCCCACTTAGATGGTTTCCCACCCACATTCCTCCCAGAGTGAAGGTTCGTGCACCAGGCACATTCACCTCCCTTATCAGCTTAGTAAGTTCTGAAACCAAGATCTAAATACAGTCCCCTCCAAATGCTGAGATCCAGCAGCAGGAGCCACACTTCTCACTAGGTGAAATCAATGTTATTCTACTTGCTCAACCTAAGAAAATATGAAAATGACACTGAAAGTGCAAAAACAACACTACTTGTACCACCTGTGTTCACACAGCTTCATTTCCCAGAGCAAAGCACTCAACCCAGACTCCTCCTGCTTTCTGAATTTTCACAATACACAAAGCACAGGCCAACAGCAGTAAGAAACCCTTGTGTGCCAAACAACATGCAGCTTTCCCCAAAACAGTATGGGGATGTATCCATGGCATGGTAACAAAGAGCACAAAAGGATAAAATAATATACCTGTTTGATAAATGCCAGAGTTCAGAGAGACTCAGAGACAAGGAATGTTTCTCATAAAGTTCATGGGAGAAAAATACTTCTTGGCCATTTTTTGGTGGAATATCCCTAATAAAAGAAAATTTAAAAATAAATATATAGCAAAACAACCAAAAATTAAAGGCCACGTCTGCTCCTGAGAAACAAAACCAAGAATTATTTTATATGAAAAAAAGAGGCCACCTACACAGTGGTTCCAGATTTCCTTTTTATGGAAGTTACATTTATACTAATGCCTTATATTTTTTGATAGTAAAATATACATTCTGCACAGTACAAAATAATTTCATTAATACAAACCATCAATTCTAGATATGGTGAAATTCTGATGAGAGTTTCACACTTTCATAGGTTCATGAATCAAAAACAAACTCTGAGTTGAAACCGCTGAAACTTTTGAGAAAAATACACCAGTTTTAGCTTTTCAGAAAAGATTTGTTCTTGTCTTCTACGCTGATATGATAGTCTATATTGCCTTTTTATGTTTTCGAATGGAGTCGTTCAAAAGAACAGGGTTTATACAATCTCAATCTCCCTAACTACTGTGCAAGGTACGAGCAAAGACTTTATTTACGTTTACCTCACAAACTAAAATTCCAACAAATCTCGCCTCTCTAGGGTTAAAGAGCCGAATTACGTATTTGCAGAGCTTTTCGTATTAGAAACACGACCAAGGCCCCCGCCCCGAATCCCCGCCGGGGATTAACGGGACCTCGCAGCCCCTGAGGCGGAGCCCGGCCGGGCTCAGCCCGGCGCTGCCCCGGGAACCTCCGCGCTCCTCCCGCTACCACCGCGGGAGCGACAGGAAATGGCGCACGCCCCCTCGGGGCGGCGTCCGGCGGGGCGGGAACCGAGCCCGCCCCGCTCCCCCCGGGCCGCAGTGCGTTCTGCCGCCGGCGGGGCAGCGCGGAGCTGTGTCCTTCGGCCATGCCTCAGGCGTGCCCGGCCAGGCCGCTCAAGGAGAGGGAGACGCGCTCACCATGTCAGCGGCGGCGGCCCCGCGGCCGCCATCTTGGCAAAGCCCTCAGGGCGGCAACTTCGTGGTTCTTCGTCTCACCGCCTCAGGACACTGGCCAATCAGCGCCCGGCGCATGCGTCAGGTGGTCTGAGTTAGCCAATAGGGAAACGGCGCTCGAGCGCCTCAGAGTGTGGCCGCCATTTTGTGGCGGGCGGGGCGAATAGTGGCGCGTAGCCGAATTGTGTTGGGAATTTGCTCCGTGATTGCAGGCGGAGCCTAGGCAGGAGGTGGATGTCTCGGGCGGCACATCCCGCCCCTCCCCGGCTCTTTCAGAGGTGGTGCCCTGGGTAGAGGGTGGGTGTCCCGGGTGGCTCCTCCCGCTCTGGGTGTGCAGAGGCAGGAGGGGGGCAGTTTGTCACTGCGGGGTTGGAGGCGCGTGAGGGCTAGGTGCCCGTAGAGGAGGCTGCGTTTAGCAGCTTCCTTCCTCTCAGGCTTTCAGTTTCCCTGGCTCACTTCTTGTAAGCAGAGCCGCGAAATCTCATTTAACTGATGGGCAGGCTTCCCAGTGTGGTAAAATGTGGAATTCGGGTACTCTCACAACCCGTAGGTCTGGGTGATGGAAACTGATTTGCCTGTGGTGTTACAAGAAGAGGTGATGCCAGTCACTGCCCTAAAGATAGGGAAATGATGAGGGCAGAGTGTGTACCTGGTGTCCTGTGATTAAAATGGGGCACTATTACACAAATACAGGAAAACCCAGAGATGATTCAGAATTATTTCCAAACCCACCAAACAAGGGAGTCTTCAGCTTGCTTGCAGTTTTAAGGATAGTGATTTTAATTCTGCCCTCTTGATTTGTTTATCTTAGAGAAGCAGAAAGGTTTTCTATCCCACTGGCTAGACCCACCCAGAGTCGAGCCGTGGAATTACCCCCTTGTAAGGAGTGATCTTAGTTCCCAACCCAGGTATGGTAACAGTTCTGTAGCGGAATTATGAGAACGCTTATCTTGGTGAATGCGGCAGCCTAAATCCTACTTAAGGCTGTATCTCTCTAAAACCTACAGTATCTGATTGTTTTGTTGTTTTATCTTTGTACTTCCATGACACAAACATGAACATCAGGAAACAGGTTTCCACTGTGAGGGTGATGAAGGAGTAGCACAGATTGCCCAGGGAAGTTTTGGAGTCACCATCCTTGGAAATACTCAAAAGCTAGGCATGGTCCAGGGCAACCAGCTCAAAGAGACCCTGCTTGGGGCCTCTGAAGTCCCTGTCACCCTCAGCAGTTCTGTGCTCCTGTGAAATAATCAGAGGTCAAACCCACCACCTCCTAATGCACAGTTTAGCTTTCCTTATGGGCAGGCACAGGAGGGAGTTCTCAGTTTGTCCCACTTCAGAAAAACTCCTGTTTTAGATAGAACTATACAGTTCTTTATAAAGCTGTTGCCTAACCTCTATGTTGGTGGTTAGGAACTCTCCTATGACTGGGAAGACTGGGCAGGATCATGGCCTGAGGATAAGAAAATTAAATCTGTGTTTTCAGTGTCTTGACTGCTGCAGACATGGAGCTGCTGTAGAACACATGGCACTGCTTAGTGCTACCGTTCTGGGAGTTATCACTTACACTCCTTTTTTTGTAGAGTTATCTGTAGGTGAAGGCTGCTTCCAGATACAGTGCTTCAAAGATGAATGCTAGAATCTATTTCTGGATCATGGTCAGACATATAAATACTGAGCTGTTAAAAGCCCTGTCAAGACTGAGGCATTTCTGAGTAGGTGCAGAAGGAGAATTTCACATGCCTCAAGTCTTAAGACCAAGCATGCTGCTGACACATTCAGGTATTCCCAAAGTTAGCACAGCAGAGGGGAGTGGCAACTTTGACTTTTGATGCCTAAATTGTGTTAAAACTTCAATTTTGATACCCAAATCCTCATTTGTCTGACTAAAGCAGTATTTCTGCTGGGAGTGCTCACTGGGAGGGTTTTGTGCCAAATATCTTGTACTTTGCACTTGATGTAGTGAACTGTGATTTCAAACAAGACACCTTCAAACAGAGGGAAGCTACATTAACCCACATTCATTCTGAAAAGGTTTAGGGCTCTCGTTGGCCAAAAGGGGAGCTTAAAAGGTGTTTGGGGGTCATCTTGTTTCCCTGCTGCTGACAAAATACAATGTACATGCTAAACCAGCTCTAACATCCGTGTAGTCTAATTTTGTATCAGTGCATTCCTTAAGGAATAAACCTAATAAGCTGTAATTCAGAAAACCAAGGAAGATGCGACTGACAAAAAAATAAAGACAGATTTTTCCATTAGAAGCTGAAGTTTTATTACAGGATAAGAGTACATAAAGCACATCTAAAATCGATGTGTTCAATGCACTTAATAAAGGTAATGTAATATTAAAGGTACGGTTTCTAAGTACAATATAACAACATTCATATTAGAATGAAAATTGGAGTATTTAAAAGACAACATTAAATCTCTTATTTTTACAGTCATATTTACAAAATGAATCAAAATACTTTTTTCGGGACCGAGTAAAATAACAAACTTGAATATAAGCAGGCTATCGTAAGAGTGAGTTGGAAAGGTCTATGGAAGGGAGAGGTGAAGTGACTGGGTAAAGATCATTAGCAAAGGTTTAGTACAATACCACATCCTCTTGATGGCTTACATTTTATTGTGGCTAGAAAAGGAATTTATACATACTGTACACATAACAGACAGCACATATTTACATGTACAGTATAATTGCATTAAACTTGTGTGTATTTACAGAAATTTGAGCATATCACTCAACGAGGTTTTTAAGTCTGTGTGCTTCATCTTCAATCTGATGTATATTTGTAATCAGCATTTATTCTGGCGTTGGTATGTTGAACATTTAGTAAAGAGGGAGGATAAATGTTAACCAAATGGTTTTGCATAAATATATCAAACTATTAAAACAACAGGGAGAATGTGTTCCTGGCATTACCTATAGGTTGGTACGTACAAATTTAAGAGTGAGTCCTTCTCTCTTTGAAAATATCAAAAGGTGACTTAAATCAAGAAGGGAAAACAAAATTGTCATGGCTTATATTTAAATAAGATTGTAGCTTCAAGAGGTTTTTATAATTGTCCTGATAGTGTTTGCAGTTAAACATTCCACTTATGAAAATATACCCATGGTGCAGTAAAGTTTGTTTTTGTTTTTAGGTCAACAGTATGTTTGCTGTTTAAAAAAAATTATTTATATATATATATTCCTTGGATTGAGGGTATAAAAGCAGTGCATGGAAGCCAAGAACCATGGCTTTAAAATTCACTACCTTCTATTATCAAAAAGTGCAGTAAACAGAAACATTGTTATTAATAAATTGCTCAAAAATCTTTGCTAAAGATCTTATAAATTCAGTAATATTACAGAAAAATTCTAATAAATATTTAAAAGGTTAATTACCTCCTTAGTTAGATATTTGATATCCATCAGTTTTTAAGAATGAACATGAAAACAATATCTAGAATGAAAGGAACAGGGGACAGGAATATTTTGAAGGGTACATGACTACGTAAATTAAGGTATACATGAAAAAATAAAAACAAAACCCCCATACCTGACAAAACATTGCAAATTCCACTTCTTAATTAACTTTAGTTGCTACTGGCTGTCCTTGGATATGTATGCATGGTGTATAAAGCATATCCAGGGACAGACTTTAGCCATCCACCACGGCAGATTTACAGAACATTCCTATTTACAGTAACTGGAGTTGAGTGTGTAGGCATGGCCCAGTAACATCCGCAGTCTGAGCGTGTACAGATCCTATTTAAAGTGAGGAGGGAGGAAGGCACCCAGCAGAATAACAGCTATACATTTCCAATGCAACAACAGGATAGAATTCTCCCAACAAGCCAAATAACTACCTCCCTTTCACACAGACAGCATATTGTAATTATTTTATACTGGCAGATTAGGTGTTTTTCTTATTTTGAATACAATACAGGCAGACTCTTTTAGTAACCAAAAGGATAACAAGCTGGACAGAACAATTTTAATAACATTAATAATTAATAATGTTAATAATGTAGAAAAAAATTCTACATTTGATATCAAGTATCTGTACCGGTGAAGTAATTTTCTCCTTATTAAATATACTATAGAATAATTTATATAATGACACTATGCATTTAAAGAGAAAACCATGTCCCAAATCTTGTACTCTGATACAGGTACTTGTTGGGCATATGTTGGTGTATATATATATATACACAAATATATATATTTATATATAGTTATACTCAGTGAAATTAACAAGACCCAAAGGTGGTATTGTCTAGGAATAAAAGGGGTTTGTTTGTTTTTGTTCACAAAAGTAACTTATCTAGCACCACACATCAGAAAAACACAAAAATAGCACACTCTAGTTCTAAACAGCTATGTCTAAAATAGATTATATAGTAAAACAGATATTATACAGCATAATGTGGTATTTGATAAACAGATAAATATTTGCACTGTGTAGGCTGTTTATAGTATAATTTTATCTATACAGAATGAAAGCAAAAAGTTAACTGTATAGAGGTGAGCAGAACAACATTAAATATTATGACTCCAAAGCAGAGACAA